TTTTTTTTTCTCAATGTTTTTTTTTTTTTTTTTTTTTTTTTTTTTTTTTTTTTTTTTTTTTGGTTTTTGCCGTAGGGTGCTATAGCATGTGTTTTTGCTGTAGAAAGACAGAGAGAGGCAGTGAGAGATAGTGACAAGGAAAGTGAGAAATCACCCCTAAACCCCTCAAGGGAGGATGGCCACACCACAATCCCTTCTCTTCCACTCTCTTTCTGGGATTTTGGGCGTGCATGTATACGTGCTTGGTATGATTTTCAAGCCACCAGGACTCAAACTGCAGTCGACCACGTGGGAATCCAGTGCTTTAACCACTACACCACTTGCTAGCCCCCCTCGTCCATTACTTTAATCACTCTTTTCTTCCATACTCCCTTAGATTTTTGTTCAAATGTCTCCCTAGCAGAGAACATTTTTGAACATCTGTATATAAAACATATCCCCAAGACCTTGTATTTAGTCTACCCTGCTTTACTTTTGCCCATAGCACTTATCTTTTATGAAATTATGAAATTATATGTATATGCTTATTTAGTTGTTTATTGTCAGTGTCACCTCACAAGAATGTAAAGTCCATGAGAGAAAGAAGGTTGTCTTTTTTTATTCACTTCTACATCCCCAAGGTCTAGAACGGTAACTGGCACAGAAAAGATACTCAAATTTTACTGAATAAAAAGATCAAAAGGGTTACCTACTCATTTCTCATAAAGTTTCCCAGATGACACTTTTTGGAATAAACAAACATATTATGGATTTCCCAAAGACTTTTATATTCAATAGCTTTTGTTGCTTTTACAGGTGATCGATTTCAGAAAGTGGAATTAGCACTGACAGGCTCAGGACTTCCTGTGTCATTACAGTTTGAGCCAGGAAAAGTCCTTCATTTTAAACCTTGTTTCATGGGTGAACATTCAGATATTCTGTGTGTTATGAAAAATCTATCCAAATCACTTTCAGTGACGTACCAGTTTAAAAATGCTCCACAATTTACTACTAATCCCAAAAGGGGTAGGATTGACGAAGGATGTACTCAGGTAAGATTATTTTTCTTTGCTTTCACATTGCTTCAAGTGTTTTAAGGTCTGTTAAAATGCTATACAGAGAATTAAAAAATTCATTTGTTCTACCAGTGTTTATGAATTCTCTCTCTTCTGTGGTTTAATTACAAATACCTTTTACTGATATTCATATAGAATCCATAATTAAGTTCTCTTGTCATGTGTGAGCGAAAGCATTTGAAAATGTAGGAAATTTAAAGTGCAAAACATAGTTATTGTTTTGAAAGTATTTTTATATAGTATGGAAGTATAAGACATATACACAAATAGGTGTGATGTAAGAAGAATGTATAATGTGTTAAAAGAATAAAGAGATGATATAGAACCTCAGAAAACAGAGTGTTTACTTTCAGCCAGATAAAAAAGTCTTCATAGGATAGCAATGTATGAACCAGACTTTGAATGCTGAGTACAAGTTTGAAATGTGAAGCTGGAGACACTTACCTGTCCTAGAAATTGCACTGCTGATGAAAAGTAGAGGAAGAGAATTCCACAGAATATCTGTGACCACCAGGCCAGGTTCTGGATGTCAGAGAATCTTTTCTTTTAATCATTCCTTGACTAACTTTCATAGATCTCTAAACCAAGTGTTAGAAGACCACTGTGGCTGGATGCCTGTTTTGGTAAACAGTGTTATTGCAACATAAGACCCTCTTATTCATTCACCTATTGTCTGTAATTATTTTCAGGCTATAAAGATAGAGTTCAGTTGTGAAAAGGTTGTAAAAGGTTATTTGACCCATAAAGCCTAAAGTGTTTACTGTCTGGTATTTTACAAAAAAGTTTGCCAAATCCTGTCTTATATATAGCAAAATATGAGAGCTTTCACTTTCATCTCAGTATGTATATGTAGATAGATAGATGATAGAAAAATACATATTACGTATATAGATGTGTATATATATATAATTCCATATATATGTGTGTATTTATATATACATTCACTTATATCTAAATAAACACGTTATTTCTTCCGTGTGTGTGTGTGTGTTTGTATGTGCGTGAGAGAGAGTGAGACAGACAGACAGCCATGTAGGATCCATCTGCCTTAACTACCACACAACTGACTGGCCTGATTTACAGTGTTTTTGAAGTTTCTGTTCTTCATTGATCATTTGCCTAGTTTTTTTAACCATTTATTGAAAATGGAACAGTAAAGTCTCCAACTATTATAGTTGGGTAGCATATTTTTTCTTTTATTTCAACAAGGTTTATGTGTGTGTATATTTTAGGACTCTGTCTTTAGATACATGTATGGTTATAATTATTGTGCATTCCTGATATCATGACCCTTATATCATTCTAAAATGCACTCTGTTCATTGTATCAGCTTTTCTATTTAATGCCTATTTTGTCTTATATTAGTATAGGCACCTCAGCTGCATGCTACATATATGAATGACATATTTTTGTCATCCTTTTCTCAAGTTATTTGTATCTTTGTATATGAGGGATCATCAAAAAATCATGGAAAATGCATATTATAAAAAATCTATGTGTGGATTCCAGATTATTTTGCACCAAGATAAACTTGTAAATGGAATAAATTTAATTACATTTCCCACGAGCTTTTTAAAGTTCCTGTGTATAGTATAAAATGTATCCCTTGCGGATAATACATAGATTATGTATTTTATCCACTCTGCTGATCTGTACACTTTGATTGTCATGCTTAATACATTTACATGCATTCATTCATCCACTGATGAACACTGAGATTGATTCTTTATCTCGGCTACTGTGAAAAATGCTGCAGCAAACGTGGGAGCACAGATATCTCTTTGACACACTGATTTCATTTCCTTTAGATAAAGACAATGATGCACATACACACAATGGAATACTGTAGTTCTATTTTTAATAGTTTGAAGAGCCTTTATACTACCTTCCATAATGGTTGTACCAATTTACATTCCTACCAACAGCGTGTAAATGTTCTTTGCTCCACATCCTGGCTAACACTTGTTACCTTTTGTTTTTTTGATAATAGCCATTCTAACAGGAGTGAGGTGAATAACTTATGGTGATTTTTATTTTTATTCCCCTGATTAGTGATTTTAAGCTTTATTTATTTAATTTTTTCAGATTCCTGTTGTCATTTGTATGTTTTCTTCTGAGAAATGTCTATTTAGGTTTTTTACCCATTTTTAAATCGGGTTGTTTTCTTCCTATTGAGTTGTTTGAGTTCCCTTTTTTTTGATATTAAACATTTAACATATAGGAAGTTTGCAAATATTTTCTTCCATTCTGTGTATTTTATCTCCACTCTGTTGATTATTTTGTTTGCTCTGCAGTAGCTCTTTGGTTTGATGTAATCCAACTTAGGAGTCTTTTCTTCAGCTTTTCTTTTAAACATATTTATAATAGTTGACTTATCAATCATCTTTGTCTAATTAGTCTAATATTTGGGCTTCCTCAGAAACATATTCTATTGACTACATCTTTCCTGTGCATTGGCCATACTTCCTTTTTTGGGGGTGGAGTACTTATGATTTTTTGTTGAAAACTGGGTATTTTAAATATAATTTAACAGCTATGGAAATCAATTTACCCCCACATGTATTGTCACTGCTGTTTGTTGTTACTGTTTCATTTATGTAATGTCTTTCTAAACCAATTTAGTAAAGGCTTTTTTTGTTGATGTTGTATGCAGCCAATCAAGTCTCTACTCAGTTAATTTAGTGTTCAATTAATGATTAAACAGAGGTTCCTTTAAATTCCTTGAACCAGTAAGACTCATAGCCCATGCCAAGAGCCTCTGCATAAATATGTTGGGGCATGTGTTCAGAGTTCTGTCAGATAGTCAACTTTTTCTAGCCTTTAATTTTTCCTTTTTTTAGAGATCAATGCATATACACTCAAGATCCTGATTAGCTGGAGGGCTGTGACAGGGGATTGCGGTGTGACGATTCCCCGATGGGGATGCCTATCTTTTTTTTTCTCTCTTATTCTCTCTTCCATGTACACATGCACTTTATTCCACAAATAAAAATAAATAAACTTAAAAAAAAATAAAGAGATACCCTCAGAGTAGGCTTTTCAGCTGCCTTCCAGACAGAACAATTTCTCACAAATTTCTGGGGATGGGACTTTTGGAAAGCTCCAAACTCATTCTTCTTCCTCCATTGGCTGCTAAGCTAATCATTTTCACAGCTACTGTAGTTACAAGGCTGTTGTTTTTTCAGACAATACGAAGCTGCATTTAAGAGAATGGAGTTCAACAAATAAAAATGTCACAGAGCCTTTCATTCTTTCAGAGATTAAGTTTTTTCCTTAAATAAATATTCCCTGGATTTTTTAAAAAAGATTTATTTAATTTTATTTATTCATTCATTTATTTTAATTTACCAGAGAGAGAGAGAGAGAGAGAGAGAGGGAGAAAGTGAGAAAGCAAGCCACCAGGTCTGGGACTAGAACCATGGTCGGCCATATGGGAATGTCCAGCGCCTTAACCACCACGCCACCTGCTGGCCCCCCAATATTCCCTGGATTTTTGTAAGCCTTTAGGTAATTTCCAGATATCTACAAAAGTTGATTTTGACAATGATTTGCCAGTGTTCCCTTTCCTTTGGTGAAAAGTAGATTTTTTGAGGTCCTTGTTGTACGATTTTGAAGGTGCCCTGGTACTGTTCTTTCTTAAATAATTTTTATATAACAAGTATCTTAAAGGTTTATCAATGCCATATATTTCTGAAGTACTTTCATATAATCATATTTCCTTGGAATTATATAAACTATATTTTTGAATTTGTTTTTTTTTTTTCCTTACAGTATCAAAATTGGTAACTTCTCTTCATTTTTTTTTGTTCTTTTTTTAGAATGTGATGTGTTCCTTCACTCCACATCAAATTGGAGTCTTCAAAGTGAGGCAGTTTATAGAGTTTATTGGCCCAGTGGTAGATGAACAATTTCAGTCTTTGTCGATAAAACCTTTTTATCACGTACATTTGGATTTCCACAGTATCTGTAGAGCTTCCAGGAAGAAGGTTGTAATGAAAGTTAATCCTGGTATGCATTATATAATATTCATGTAGCTTCATTGTTGTTGTTGATGTATGATTATTTTAATGTGCTAATTGGTTAGCTATACATATCAAATGTGGTTCAACCCAGTGGTTCTCCTCTTGAGCATGCATCAAAACCATCTAGAGGGCCTGTTAAAACACTTATCACTGGCCTGCATCCCAGCATTGATTATCAAGCAGGTCTCTGTTGAAACCCTAAGAGTTGCATTGATACTGATGCTGCTATTCTGAGGATCACACGTTGAGTAGCATTGATTTAGTTATCTATACAGTTTATTGAATGCTTTTTTTTGTTTTTATATTTTATTCTTTCCATTTTTTGAGTCTGTAATATAAACTGTTTTTTAAGATTCCGTGAATTGTCTTTTGGTTGCTGTTTCATCCTATTCTCCATAATCTTTTATATATTGATATTCAATTGTCTTCAATCTACAAAATGATTCTGTTTCATATAGATCAACCTACATTCTTCAAGTTTTGTTTTATTTTGTGTGTATGCAAACATTTATATATGTATTATTTTGCTGAACTATTTTTATGTAGGTCCATTTATTGAATGAATTTGTATTTTCAGAGTACTTTTAAGAGTTTAACATTTTAGTTTGAACCAATTATCTAGTGTATTGAGTTAATGGCTATTGTTTCAAAGGCTGAAATTCAAAATACCATATGTAAACTTAATATTGAATTCTATAAAGGTATATCCCCTGCGATCAGCAATCCCACAGGACAGTTTGTGCCTGAAGATTTTGCACAAGGCAAGGACTATGCACCTGTAGCAATGCTTCGATCAGCCACAACACACATTCATAATCATCAGTCAGGTAAAGAGTCAATAAAGGATGCTCTGATAGCGCTTCCCAATGACAGAGCTGCAAGTATCAGGCCTGGAGACCATGATGAACATTTCAGGTAACATGTAATGTTAAAAATTTGAAACTTTGAAAGACATAGTGGCCAACATAATATGCAGGGATTTGACAACAATTGGCTATATAAAATTAATATTGCCAGTAATAATAACTAATACATTTTTATTTTCTAATTTTTTTTCATGGAGATGATTGTTGATTGCCATTGTATTTGCTTTGTCTAACCTCTTATCCCCTCTACTATGTACTTGGTAAGAAGTGAATACAATATAAAATGACTTAAAATATGCTGTTGGCAAGTATAGAAAAATAGTAGAAATAATTATCTTTGGAGATATTAAAAAGTCCTCAGAGAAGTTCAGTTTATTATGCATTGTTTAGAGCTTGAAAAAAATATCAGTTGTGGAGAACCAGTCATTGTGATTTTCATCATCATCACCATCATCATCTTTGAGCCCCTCAAAACACATTTTTAATTATATTTCCCAAATTGAACTAAAATCTTCCCAACTAGAATGATAAGGGTTAATAGACACAGTGTAACTTTCTCTAAATCACGAAGAAATCACTGCCTTGTCAGTAGTTAGTGAGAAGTGACCCAGGAATCCTGACATCTTTATCTGAGCCCTCAATCCAGGAGTGGGTTTTACGCATTTGAGGCTGCAATAGATTTCATTTCTGCCTGCTTATATACTTCTAATAGACTCTCTAAGCTTGATAACTGCCCTTTACTTTCTCCCCTTGTCTCTTTACCTTTGGTGAGGCATAAAACTTGCTTAATTCTGCATATATA